CTTACATTACAGGCCTATAATTATATGCTCTCAGGGTGAGAGCTCTACGCCTGCATTTATTCTATAGTGTTACACTTTAAACAGGATTACGGGGGTTCATATAACGTAACTTGGAGCAGATATTTTGGTTCATGCAACAATCCACTGCTGAGAAGTATGCCACGCCCTTTTTTTTCTCTTACAGTTTAACAGGCTTTCAGTGTTCATGTTTTCTATAAACTGGCTAGCAGATTTTATATTAAAATTACTTTAATTTGCAGTTTTTTTTATGGAAATGATTGTTTTTAACATACACCATTTCATAAATTCATGGCCTGATACAAGTGAAAAAGGCATTTATTTTAAAAAAATTAAATGTTCAAAAAGAAGATCAAATAAAAACAAACACCTGTGCTAACACCATCAAGTTTGCCCTGAATGAACATGCTAACTCACTCCCCTTCTTTCATTGCCATTTTTGTAGTCTGTATTGTTGGTCTTCTTTTCAAAGGATTTTATTTTTTGATGAGGGGAATGACTGCTCAAATGCATGATGGGAAAAAACTAGTTTCCAGGCCATGTTATTTTGTACTCAACCTCAAGAACAAGTTTGTGGAGTGTAAAACAAACAATCCACTCGAGGAATTTTCCCAAGATCTTCAGCAAATGTTGACTACATAACTGACTCCAAAACTGTAACCACCATGCTTCTGACAAAAAAAAAAGCTACATAATGTTGTATATATGCCGTATACAGTTTTTTTGGTTAACTTTTCCTTAACTTGGCTTTAGCCAAATTTATGATTTAATTTGTTTATTTCTTTTATCAATTTCAGGCAAAAAGGAGGAAAATTTGAGCTTGGGTACTTGATGCAGTTCATTACTAATAAGGACATAACAATTATAAATTCATGCAACTAAATTCAACATAGGCATGCTCGTTGAGATTTAAATAAAAAATCCACTATTTTTAAAAGCCTTTTTTGTGTGTGTGTATGTGTGTCAACAACTTTGAAGTAATAAGTGCTACCAATAAGTCTATGATAGTGGAAGAGTAAATTGCTGTCCCCCAAAAAAGCTTAAGGCATACAATAATATGTTCTGAATAATAAATAAAATTTATATTTGTTTAACCTCATCTTACAGCTAAACCAGTGCATCACCTTGGTTGCTTAGTTTTGTTTAGGTGGGTGGGAGCATTTTCTTATGGTCTGATTGTTCAGATATAATAAAAAAGAAAAAAAAAGCCTTTCATCCAGAACTCATAATGCTACTGCTTTTATAAACTGACCTTTACAGCAACAGGGTAGAAAAACACAAACTATTTGTCGAAGTATGGCTGAAACAGATGACTTAAGTGTATTAAATTATACAATTCCACCAGGCATTTGCAAAACCCCATGCCCCTATAAGAAACAAAAATTACTCCATGGCAGGTAAATCTATGGCAATCAGTTTTAAGGGACCTGCATGGTTATGACAAGAACGTACAAGGACAATGAATGCAGCATGTCACTTTGACCTGCACCCTTTAAAATTTCTCAAGCATTTATTTGGAAACTAGCTACATCGGGGCCATAGCAATAGTCCTTCAGACCAATGAACCTTTGATTAAAAAACTGGTGAAAATGTGTTGATTTTTTTTTATCAATGAACCTTTCGGCCCAATGAATCTTCAAACTACCGAGATGCCCTCGCTCGATCCACCATAACTTGAGAACTGTCCTGCAAACCTACACTGTTTATAGACCAGACAATATGGAATGACAGCTAATACAATGAAGGCTGTATACTTGATAGCCAGAGAGGAGAAGACTGTTATAGATCCTTGGACACTAGGACGCAAACAGGCATGTAGAAAGGGGTCATTTCTCCTATGACAGTATGGAGTTATGTCACCAAAGGCTGCCCTTTAAGTATGACAGAGTACCTGTGTGTGAAGAGAGAGCCCTTACAAATACCATACCTTCATTGTATAATGATATAAAGACCAGCAGACTGGCTGTCTCTCCATGATAACAGTTCCTTAAAGGACAAATGAACTGATTGCAGGTTAACTTTGGGTGTGTGCAATTATACACACGCTACCAACATTCACCGTTCATTTTTAGTGTTTGGAATATGTAGAAAAAAGGGTGGGAAAAAATGATGGGTTTGGAGGATAACAACTTTAAGTTAACAAATTACATTATCTAGGCAGTTATTATCTATCCATCTACCTAAAGAAACAGAGGTGTCCTCAAAATGCAATTTATCTGTTGATCATTTTGATTCTTTATCTTCCACATATGGTTCAAATTCGATAATAAGGATAATAATAAATTACAGAATGCACATTCTGTAAATTCTAAATTACCTTACAAAATTTCAAATTAACTGTTGAGAAACTATTGTCTTGATTTGCCAAAGAGCCCCCCCCCAAAAAAAAAATGTAAGATAGAAAGAAAGAAAGGAAGGAAGAAAGGAAAAAATAGAAAAATAAAATTTTGATAAATTGATTACATTTTGCTATGGCAGATTCACAGATCTAGATAGTCAAGAAAGAGGGATATCTTCATGTTAACTGCCATTTTGCCCCCCCCCCCCCCCTTCTGCAATGATGGGTAACCACAATGCTTAACCCTTATGTGCTAATATCCCAAGATAAAACAGTAAATTGCTTTCGTTCAAAATATATGTAGCCTAAAGACTTCATTACTCTTACCTACAAGTTGCAGAAAACTTCACATATCTGTGGAATGATCTGTTGGTATATGGGGGTGTACATTGATTTGAAGGAGAAGTTCAGTTAGTGTTGGGATCTAATGAGTATATAACATGTAATCTCCATTTTAGAGTGGCTATTTTTCATCTTGCTGTAAACTTCACCTACTCCATCTTCCGTTTGCACACTTTATGGATGGGGGGCAGGCAATATAGCAGTTAACACATATCATAGACAATGTAATATCTATAAAACGCACTGATGTGACCTATCATAACATATCTATCCATCAGCAATATCTCTTTTTTAAACAGCAATTCTTTTATTTAGTTAATTTAATTCTTACTACTTTTTAATGAGTTTAATTTTTTTACAGGGTAATGGATTTCCCATATTGTAATTGAATTATACAACTAAAGCTGTATCATACTTATTTCAAATGCGATTCTAGATAAAAGGAAGGGAAAAAAAATTATGTCAATTTTCAGGTTGTTTCCCAACATGTTGTATCTTTATATGGTACCTATTCTCACATACTGAATGCAGGTAAACAGAGGTAATATTAAATTACTGTACCTCTCAGCAGACATATAGATTCTATTATGTAATTGTCAACCTGTTTTATACAACTGATCACACTTCTGTAAAATTCTTATAATTCTTCAGAAAATCATGCCCAACACAATGACCTTTTTTCGCTGAAGAATGAAAGGTGTCCCTTCAGTGGTGACACAGAAGAGAAACGGCTAGGTTGGTGACAAATTTGACAATGGCTGTATAGAAATTGTAACTAATTTTACCGGTGCACTGTATGAGTCAATAATACTGACAGACAGTTATAGGTGTACAGTGATATGGTAAATATGTTTAAAATATATGGCAGGTTTTACTTTGCTGTCATAAAATGGATCACTTTTATCACTGTAAGAAAATATATACAGACTTAATGTACCTGGTCAAATGGACCATGAAATTCCAAAAATCAGAATGAAAAGATGTAACAGTTTTTGACTTTTTAGGCAGCATAGCAACTGGCTCTCTGCATAGTGAAACATATTTGTGAACACTGTGTGGTTGTGTGCGTGTGTGTGTGTGTGTGTGTGTGTGTGGATGTGTGAACTTGCAAGCATAGTGTATATATGTACGAACACATTTCTGTTGTCATCTTCCCACATGCATTTACCTATAAAAAGCCCAGTCTTTGCAATGTCTATATACAAGCACCTGTTTGTTTTAATGGCCCATGGCAGCCGTGAAGTTATGTGCAGCCAAATATGAAATCAAATATCCTTAAGCTACATTGGCCTTCAGTAGGACACGGCTTTCCGACTGTTAGGGCCTATCTATACAAGTTATGTTGACATACATACTTAATCCTATATAATTTATTGTGGATAAGAATACAAAAATGTAACAATACAACACAGTTTTTGTAAGGAAAAGTAAACTGTTTTTGTGAATATATCTGTATAAATATTATGTAATATATACTGCTATATTCAGTTCACAGTTGAGCTGTGACCATGACTTTCAAGTTTAAAAGAGCATAAAGTACTTTCAAGTTGACAGCATAAATGATTCTACAGAACTGATAACATATCTAATGGGTACCTTAAAAGGTAGTAACCCTTCATCTTTCTTGATTTTGGATCTCCTTAAAACAAGTATTTCAATGAATCATGTTTTTAAGACTAAAATTCGAGTAATCTTAGCATCAAGACGCAGCCAACAAACTTTAAAAATTGATTCACATAAATGTGCGCTGCTTTCATTTTTCTCATTCTATACATGTATCACTTTATGCTGTAAGTGTTTTCCACCTGAGTTAAATTTATTCACAAAAGACAGATACAGTGAGCATAAATATATAGTTACATACAAAAACTACTCTTTCATCAAGTAAAATCCACATTTTCACAATTTAAGATCAAATTGTAAAATAGATAAGAGAAAAAACAATATTTCTCCAAGCAAACTCAATGTAAAAGGAAGGACTCAAGTAAGATTCATATAATCTGACATAACCCTGTGGGAGGCCACGTCACATTCATTTAATGCAGGTAAGCAAAATGTAAATTTACTACCCAAGCAGAAAATCTCTCTTATCTGCCATGCAAAATCCTTAAAAAAAGAGTTAATGTCAAACTTATTTTCGATGGGTTCCCTTAAATACTCCATTTAAGAAAACAAGACCTTGGGGTATTTCACTTTTGAAGTTCACCTGTTTGAATCGCATCTTCTAAATCAAAACAACAACAAAATCCAACATTATCACCTATAAGTTTTTAAAAGTTACAAATTAGAAACAAAAACTTACTGGAGACATATCAGTCTTCTCCATGGTGTCCTGTGGATCCGCTGAAAGCTGGCTTTAAATGTCCACTGCTCTGTTCCGATTACTTTTCTAGGGTCCTTTTGCGATCTCCAAACGGGCAGCTAGCTCTAATAAAGTGTGTCGCCAAATAAACTCAGTTATGTCAATAGTTATAGAGCAAAGAAAAGATTTTCAAAGGAGTTTGCCCTTTTTTGTTATTCAAATCCTCCTCCAATGTAATGCAAAATGCAGTGAGCTGTAGCAAACTTTTCCAGTCTTAGCGAGCTAACAACAGCGTTACCTGTTGATTCACCCTACTGTTAGTGCAAGTTTTCTATTATGTTAGTCAGCTCTTTTATGACTGCCTCTGTGTCCCTGTCACAAATAGTGTTGACCGTCCAACATTCACAAACTTTTCTCATTGGTTACAGTACCCTCATTGAATAGGGCTGGGTATGCTAATTAAGCCCTCGGCTGGAGAGTCATTCACAGATTTGGTTAAGTTAAGGTGGGGTCAAATAAGCGGCACCCGTACCACCATCACTAAATAGGATAGAGGCCCAGTAAAAAAAACCCCAAAAATTCCTATACACTAACAGGATCTTTTCTTTGTACTGATCCCAGTGGAAAATCACTGCTGATAATAAATGTCCAATAAATGGGCTGCGAACAGGCTGAAAAGGTAAATAAAATAGAGAACGGTTGGCGATAAAAATAACTGCTCAGGTGGATGCTTCTTTTGCACCCCCATGGCAAAATTTCCTCCTAATTCCTCTCCGGTGAAGAGAATAGTTGTATAGCATGCAATGTACGAGGTCAAAAAGACAGTAAAATGACCTGTATGAGGCATTTCATGCTGTCTGTATAGCATTAACTGTTTGTTTAAAATAGTCTGCCTGTTTCTTTAACAATGGACCCACACACTTGAACAAAAGTTATTAGGGTCCTGTATAAGGTAACTGTATATTCTAAGTATGCACATATGTGTACAATGCAATTTCAGGTGCAACAATTTACACATCCAGCCTCTTATCTGCAATCTTTATGGCTTGCAAACTACTGTACAGTACTGTTTGTGATTCTCATTCATATCATGTAGAATGTCATATGTACAATTTGACTCTAAGGGCGCATTCAGATTCACACTTCATACTAGTTGGGACGGTCCAAGTCTGCGGGGGATTCTCACTGAAGTGCAATCAGTGGAATCAGCTTAATCAACACACACTTGTTAATTTCTCCCTTAGTTGCTTGAGGAGATGTGTCAGCCAATTAAGATGATTCCACTGATTGCACTTAAGCAAGAATCCCCCACAGAGTTAGAGGGACCCAGCTACTATGGCTCTATTCCCATAGATTTTAGATCGATCTATCCCCGCGGGGATTCTCACTAGATTACTTTCAGATAATCCGACTTAAATGTCCGTCCCGCCTACTACAAGCTGTAAGGGGGTAATTAACTTTCGTGTCCGCCCGGCTGACAGCTATTTAGTGTGAACCCCCAGGTAGTTAGGTCGATCTAAAGTAGGTCGATCTAATCTATGGAAATGGGGTGTATGATGTGTGAATCTGAATGTGGTCAAAGACAGATATGGAGGGGGTGGGGGCAGAAGAGAGCAGGACATGAATACATTTTGAAACTGCAAGCTAAATGAGTACACCTTTAATATTTCAGCTTCAGTGGTGATATTTACCACCAGGTGACTTTATTAAATTACTTGAAGAAGAAGAATTACTTTACATTAATTTGGGTTAAAACAGTTTTGCAGCCTCAGGATTAATTTTCTTACATCCAGAGAGAGAGAAACTGCGTCACTTTAGATAGCTCCCAGATTGGTTAAATTATTGTAGAGAAATTTTCACATCAAAAATTGCTCGATAAATTTATACTGAAATCTGACAATCATGGTTTAAATTTCCTCCCCTTTTAAAGTACATGTATAAACAGTATAATTGTTGATTGTGTAATCCTTTTAACATAAGCCACTGCATTTTCCCCCCATTTTGCAACCAGGACATGATCAATAGAGTCGCTCTACATCCCTTTACATTAGATTACAATTTATGCAGTAATTGACCAAGTCTTCCCAACAGTACATTTAGTCATAGTACCAAATGAGACATGCTCAAACATTTATCAAAAGGGGAGAATAAGGACACATAATAAAGGCCACCACAATGATGACGTAACAGGACATAATTTGCAATGGTAATGGTTTAATTAACATGACCACCCTGGGAAATAACTGACAACTATGACAAGTATACAGATGACTCAGGGGTGTTACTGGATACCTTATTGTCTGGGAAACAGGACACATTTTCAATTTTCCCCAAGAATTTTAAGTTGTGAGATTTTTTGGCCATCTTGGATTTTGCCTATTAGAACTATTCATGGTGTGATTTATAATTCTCGTAATCTGTTAATAATATACTGTGACTTTACATTATACAGCAATTTATATGCCTGTGGCTCAGATAAGTATAAAACGAATTACTACTGCTATTTACATTTAAGTTTTTTATCAAGTTGTCTTTGTATACTGTACACAAGATTTTTACAAAACGGAAGTCGATAACAACAGATGATTAATTGAAACTTGTAATTTTCCACTGGTCTTTGATTTAGAATTAACATCGCAAATGCACATAAAGTGAATAGTTTTTATTTTATTCAAAAATTTAGTCTATTTGTAATGCAAGGCTACACACATCTTATTAATTAAATCTTTAACAAAGTAATTATTCATAATTTGTAAACTATTTATTATCTAGTTAATCAAACTTTACTGGATAATTTAAATCATATCTTTAAATGTAAGTAACTATATTGTACATGGATGAAACTGCCATTGAGAGAAAAAGTCTGAAAATATGGCATGGGGGTTGAGATCTACCCCCCCCCTCCCCCAGGATAAATATCTGGAAAACTGTCTGAGAGTAGCCCAGCACTTTGTCAATATGCAAAACAGAGATAAGTAAAGATCGATATTTCAAAAGTGAAACGTAAATTGACATAACATTTTAAGGGATAGATGAAAAGTGAAAAACGACTTGCATTAAGTCAATTCTACATCAAGATTTAAAGCTACTTGATGCAAAAATGAAATGATTTAACGATCTTCTATCCTGATAACAGATGAGGTAAAAACTGACTATAAAATACAAGAGGTAGGCAAACAAATTAGGAAGAGCCATTAAATGTAGTCATAAAAAATACAGGATATTGATTGGGAATTGCTTTCAATTCATGTTTTTATGACCACCCAGAATAGCACAGTTTTTATCATTTCTAAAAATAATCTGCACCAATGTGAAGTGCAAATACATCCCAGAAAAAAAATCTACCTGATATATAATAGTTTTTCACATCCTTACAACATTACAGAAATGCAACTTAGACAAAAAGCCAAAGCAAATTACTGCAGTATAACTAATGCTTCACAGTTTTACATTTAAGAAGTAACGCTTGTGCAAGCAATTTAATTTGTTAATGTGTATATGCA